AGTGGCAATTCCTTTTGTTTGACAAACCAAACATCCCACAATTAAAAGTCCACAAGCCACTGCTGCACTGAGATACTATTTCGTACGCAGGCAAAAGAAGTCCACTGTCCAAACTTGAAAGTTGCGTTTTTATGGTTTATTTATCCAGTTTGGCAAGCAATAACAAGATCCTTTTTTTTTTTGTTACTTCCTGCTGCTTCTCCTGCTCTGGTAAAAAACCATAGGCCCACCCCAGTGCATGCTGGCCCTCTACCAGTCTCTTTATTTATAGAAAACAAAATGGCCCTACAGCTCTTCCTGACTAATTTAACAAAGTAACATCAAACAAACTTTGAAACAAAATATTAACCAACAAATAACTTGTAAATAAACCCCAAAATATAAGTAAACTAACAACAAATTTCAAAATAATAAAAAATAAGAACAAATAGCTCCAACAAGTAGCATTAAAGAGGATTCAGACTCTCAGAATGTAAAACTTTAAGTAAGCCAGCAGATTTTACCAGCAATCTGGACTAAAACTGATTAGTCAAGTACTCGCGTGTACAAGTACTGTGTTCATATTTACTTATCAGACAGGTTCAGTGTTGTAAGCCCCAACCACCAAATTTCAGAAAGTATCACCTCCATGAACAGAAAACCTTTACGGGGTTAAAAGTTCATGTGACAACTGAGAGAGAGACAACTGCAGGATACATTTCTTCTTCGTTAGATACAAAAAGACCCATCAAACATGCTGGTGAATAATGGAGTGGCCAAAAATAGAATGATTTGTTTGCATGTGGCATTGAATTGTTGCTGTAAAAAATCTACTTTGTAATAAACACGCCACAAACTTCACACAGAGAAACGTAGAAAAAAAATACATAAAAATCTAAATATTCACTTAGTTCGAAATGGAAACCAGTTCAAAACCAGTTTGTCTGCATCCACAATAAGAAGCTGCTGAAATTTGCTGCTGTCTGTGAAAAGTGAGTTTTTCATGCTGTTCCCCATCACAGCATCCGCTCGTCCAACAATGCTCAAGTGAACAGACTGATGCAGACTGAGGAAGGTCAGGGTCTGACCGCCAGCGAAGAGGCCCCTGAGGGGGAGGACGGAGTACGACGGGCTGTGGACAATGAGGAAGATGGAGTGACCTACAGCTACTCCTTCTTCCACTTCAGTCTCTTTCTGGCCTCGCTCTACATCATGATGACGCTCACAAACTGGTACAAGTAAGTATGTCTTGTTTGCTGCCACTACACCTTAAAGAGGTTCGCTTCTCTCCCAGTGCTGACTGTCTCTTGTGATTCTCTAGGCCTGACACTGACACCCACGCCATGCAGACCAGCATGCCAGCCGTCTGGGTGAAGATCAGCTCCAGCTGGATCGGCTTGGGCCTCTATCTCTGGACTCTGGTGGCTCCGCTGGTGCTCCCTGACAGGGATTTCAGCTAAAAGCCGCCATCTGCACTTTTGCCATTTGTACCTTAAGTAAAGAAAGCTTTTGCTTAAACTTGTTCTGCTTGGATGTTGTACAAAAACAGAGCTTAAGAGCTTTAATCACATTCCAGTTTGCCACCTCAGGTAATTTTTCCTCATTCTCCACTGTTGCAAATATAATTGAAAGCACTATATGCCTTTTATAGGTCATTACCAAATGAATGCTGATTTCTATGGGGAATGGTGTTTCACTACATTTACATCATACTTTTTTTAATCATTGACTCTGTTTCAGT